TTGAGAGTTGAATGTGAATTTGCTGAACAGACCATCTATATAATAGGAAAGATTTTTGTTCAAGTGAAAAAAAAAAGTCAATATTTTGGAAATTGGTGAGGTGATGGGTATATGTGCAACTTACGAAATACCTCTAAACTGCTTAACATTCAGTGTTTTTGAGTGTGTCAGTCTATAGTGTATCTATGATGGTTGAAAAATGGTGACATATACAATGAATGAATACTGTATTGATCATCGTCATCTTTCACATGAAAGTGCCTCTATTGTGATTCCAATAGCTCAACAGGGAAAATATTTTAGAAGCAATATTTTCGACATTTTCATATCCTACTTAGGGCTACATACAGAGTCAGTTTCGTTGAGATTGGTGACGTCAATTGAGCGCATTGCTTGTATTTGAATCGTATCTTTTGTGCAACAACTCCTGATCTTGCCTACAGATTTATATACGTACTGATCATGTCCTAAAAATCTCAACTCAAAAGAATGTCTCTTGCATGAGATGTTGAATTTTCCAGAAGTCACTTATATGCCATGCAAGATTCAAGAATCTAATTTTTTTGTGATTTCAGTATCTTGCGAAGCGAACATTCTAGTTACACGTGTAGGTCCATGTATGAACAAAATTTCAGCAAAGCATCTATAACTCTGCAATTATGGTCTAAGCGCCCTTGTTCTTTTGAGATTTTTAATAATTCATTCGGATCTATCTTATCCACACAGTCCGAAATCAAAAGCAGTGTTCAAGTTGGAAAATTTTCTCGTTAGTCATTGAATATTAAAACAAAATGACTTTTTGATTATTATTCATCTGATTATAACTTCTTTTTCTGTTTTGAAAATAATAAACAAACTATATTATTTTCTTATTTTAATTAAACAACGTTAACAAAAACAATATTTCAACAATGATTATTCATTGATCTGTTCTATTTCTAATGCCTGCCCATTTTCCCCAACGTTCTGATTCATTTCTTCCTAAACGTGGTTGATTAAAACGTTCAGCAACTTTTCGATCCCTTGAGAAAAAAAAGAATTCATTTAATTTTAAAAAAAAGTATAATTTAATCTTACGGAATAGCCTGAAATGCTTCAGACCAAGATTGTCCATGTTTCAATGCCATTAAAATAAAATAAATTTTGTCCAATGATAATGTTCGACTAGCACTACTACCAAATCTGCACAAAAAAAACAAATCTCTTTCCATATTTTGTAAATATGTTCATTATACTTTAAATATCGTTCTAACGGCAATCTTTGATGTTTTATATTATCTCGTTTAGCTTTTGCTAATGTTAAAGGTCGTCCACCAACACCTAAATAAATGTATTTTAACAACAAACGAGATTTGATAACATATTACTTACTACTATCAATAATAGCACCAATAATATATACAGCATCATGATCATACTCAGACATTTCATATTGACTATGTGGTGATAAATAAATTAATTTTTGCCTATCAAATAAATCTAAATAACTTGCTTCAGTAACTTCAAAACATGATACACCACGATTTTGATTAATACGTCTAGCAAATTCTTTTTGAATTTGTCCATCAGTTGCAAAATTACATAATGTTACAAATGATGGTGAATGATATTGATGTATATTAGCGAAAAAATATTCAATTTGATCAACTAATTTTGATACATATTTGGAACGAGCATGTTCTATTTCAAAACCACAATCAACAAGAATATGCTCACCAAGACGTGCTTGAGCTATTAATTTATTATCACGTATCCAACGTTCTGTATGGCCACCAGTTAGTTGACGAAACATTGATGTATAACCAGGATAATTTGTTAATGGTAGACCAGCAGCAGCTAATTCAACATGACGTGCAGCTGATTTAATACGTCGTTCTTGTAGAGCAGCTTTTTCAGCTGCACGTTTTCGTTTACTTATTTCACGTAGAAACAGATAATTATATATTGATTTACGATTATTTAATAATGGAGATGAAATTAATTCTGGCCAATATTCATCGGGAATATCATCTGGTACACGTTCACCACTTTCACGTAATGTTTGAATTCTAGAAATTCAATTTTTTTTTATTTTTATTGAAATAAAAATATATACATATATAAATATAATGACTTACTCAAGTAAAATTACTTGACGTTTTTGTTCATCATTTAATGAATGATATGATTGACGATGTCGTAAATATTCCCAAAGCCATTCATTTGTGTCTGTTGATGATGATAAGGCTTGATTTGTTTGATGAAACAATTTTGGAGAAATAAAATCAGCAACATATCGATGATGATATAATAATTTATTACGATGAAAAATCAAATTAGTCACAGGAAATAGTGATCGAAACATCATATATGTTAAATAAAAACTATGCAAAAGAGATCTTATTGGAATACATCCATTGATTATCTAGCTTGTCTAAAGTTAACCGTTGAAATATTTAAATGATAGATGTCTTACTAAATCGAATCGAATCGAATCGAATCGAATTATAACAAGAATATTTGTTGATGAATGATTACTGTTTGTAGCCTGGCTCAAATAAGAAAAAATAATCATATTGAAAATCTATTTGATTAAATAGATGTCATGTTGTATAAGCATTGTGATGGATGTTCCAAAAGTGATGAACCTCAACAAAAATTAATTTTTATGTACTCAAAGAATGATCCTTGTCGAACTACATCTATATGAATTTCGAGTACTTAGGAAGATGTTTGAAATGTTACATTATCGAATGACATTGTTTCTTCTAATAATAGTGATATAAACAAAAGAAACATGATAATTAAAATCTTGAAATCAACCAGTATTTTTTCCCAAGAAATTTTAATGAACTATGAATTCATCACATGTAAGATGATATAATTATACAAAGTGATATGTAGTATCTAGAGTGTGCATGTAACTATTTTCTGTACCTAAATCAGAGCTATCTGCCAAGTTAAAGTCGTTGATCTAAATCTTACATTTTGGAAATCAAATGTTGACGCATCGTCTTACTATACGAGAGTAGTTTGACGAATTCATTCGAATCCCGCAACAAATGCTTGAACCGAACATCATTCTAGTGTCGTAGAACTTATATTGATTGATAGAAGAACTTGTTTAGATCTAAAACAATTGGATGGTAAAGTTTGCGATCACACTGCTGCGAACATTGATTGTCAAATATTAATATTCTTTATTTCCTACATTTCAGTTTACCTCATCCTTGTAAGCCTAATGAAATTTTGCTTGTACTATTAAGATTGCGTTTATTTCTTTTCGATTTTACGAATATTAACTCATCTTTTATGGAAACTGATTAAGTGAACAATTGGAACTAGACGACATATAAACATAGAGTTCTAGAATTAAACGTATTTATAAAACCAGAAACATCAATCGCCTTAGTTTGGCTTGTAGGCATTCTGAGCCAGACGAAGCCAGAAGGGTGTGGCCTAGCGGAAGTTCTGGCTCACACACTAACGTAAGTATTACCTTTCTTTTGTGTTTATGTTTCTTATTAAAAGAGATACGCTTTCTTAACATATAAACTAGTTTTCATTGAGATTCATAACTTATTAGACACTCTTTACATTATTGTGTTTATCTGAAACATTCAAAAACAAGAGTGACAGTCTCAAAAATATGAAAATTTTTTATAGTGGATGAAATGGCAAGCATGTCACCAAATGCTTCATAAAATTCTACATCTTTTGTTATATTTTTAAGAACTTCAGAAGATAAACTTGCGAAAATAATCATGCAGAAAGATCACTGGAGAAAAGCCTAGTCTAACAAGATGAAATGATTATTCTTTACCGCTTCATAGTTTGTTCTCTTCAACTCAACAAGAACAAAATTTTGTTCGGAATTAAATTCTACTTCCGACAGCGCAAGAATAGCTATTTCATACACTAAGTCTCGCTTTGAAAAAAGATACTTTTTCGACATGCAGAGAAAAATATCAGTGCTTTTTATGCCCATGAATGAGAGCATTAGAGACCTTAAAAAAGTCATAGAAATGGAAAAAGAACATTGAAATTCATAGTTAGACGATTGAATGTGCAGTAGTATTGTAAATTTTGCTTCAATAAGAAAACTTTAATTAAAAAATTAACGAAATAGTTTTGTAGAATAGAACGTTTTTTATGGAATGACTTTCTGAATGTGTATCGAAATGACTCAACAAACTAAAATGATGTTGTCTAATTTAATATACATCATCCATATTACGTGTATATAAAAGAAATGAAACCACCAAGATAAATTTATTCTCGCTTTTTTCAATCGCTCACATCGTTTTCTTAAATCTTAGAATGTTTCTGAATCAAATAAAGCGTAATAATAATCAAAGTAGAGTTTTTACAGACATAGGTCTTTAAAGTTGTTTTATAAGTACATGGAATAGGTACTGTAAAGAGTCGAATAACATATGAACAAGTTACAAATTCATCAAATAATATCCATGATAGCAATTGTTATTTTTGTAGACAACTAAAAATGTTATGATGTTTGTTTTCTGTCACTAAGATCAATATATGACGATTCAAATTAATAAAATATTGAGGTATTTTCAAATTGATTTCTATTTATTTTAATTTAGGTTTCTTTTTTAGTTGAACGGGACTCAATACAATGAAAACGGTTTTTTTAAGCTTTGTTCAGACTTTAATCAAGATAACTGGGCTCAGAAAAAGGTTTGTCCTTGAATAAGTATATCTTCTACAGAAATTAAATTTTACTTTGAATTATTGTATTACAAATGATCGTCTCACAAATTTCATATTCTTTCTTTTTTATGTTGTCTTAATACAAAATTCTGATTTCGATTGAGTTAAGATATTGATACATTTCTTATGCCTATTTATGTTTATGTAGCAGGTAAATAACTGCGCTATTGTCATTCTCTCGCTATCACGCGTTATGATTGTCTATTTGTTTACTTGTGACCATCGTCACACGTACGTAAATTGTATATTAGCTATAAAAAAAACAGGTAATAAAGACAGTAATAACAATGGATCAAAAACCAGTTACTGAATCGTATAAAGAAGAAGTAAATGCATTACGTTCGAAACTATGTCAACTAGAAGTTGATTCAATAGAAGAAAAAGCTTCTGATGAAGTACGTAAATGGCGACAAAGTTTTGATACATCTTCATCACGTCAAATTGATAAAGTACTTAATGAAATGGAAAAACGTAAACAAACAGAAGTCAAACATTTAGCTAATGAATTACGTACTTCTCTCGAACAATTCAAACAAACAAATCTCAAATGTCTTGCCGAACTTGATGCTTTTATTTCACGAATAGGTTTAGATGATGAAATTCAACTGGATTATGTTAAATTTCAATTAGATTCAATCACGAAGAAAATCAATTCACTTCATTTCAATATTATTGTACAAGTGGTTGATAAATCACATCCACTACGTCCATCAACTGCACTCACTCGAAAATCACTTGAATTAGTTAAAGTATTTGAGTGTACAAGACAACGATCGACCACCGACCCATCTAGTTTTCTTGATCCACTTCGAAATCTTTTTCGTCGTGCATCAGCGAGTGGAGCAAATTATTACAATACTGATGTGCTTGAACCACATAAACATCCATAAATCCAACCATATTCAATAATTTTATTTACTTATAACAGGATAATTCTTCTTTGTGTCAGAAATAATCGACATACTCTTCTATTAATAAATCGAAAGTGAAAAAAAAATGGAAATTTTTTTCTTAGTTCAGAAAATTTCAATCTTTTCTGTAGACTTAGAATATAATCAATGATTTTTTTTTCTTCAATAAATAAAAACATAACGACAAAGCGTATCTAAATACTGTCAAAATAGAAAAAAAAGTAAAACACTTCATGGCAAAGCATAGTGCTGCTTACTTCTCACAGACAATGATTCATACAGTAAACTAAAAGAGAATCGAAAATGCGAAAACTGGCCGACGTGAAATTTAATGAACACAAAAATTGATTCGCACATGAAAACAGCCGAAAAGTTTATAATCAAAAAAATGGAAACTTCTGTTTATAAAAGCTTTGATTCAGACAAATATGCTCATTTCTGCTTCTTCTACTATATCGATAAGACGCGAATATCTCTTACATCGAAAAGGTCACGTGTACCTGATTGTGGTATATATAGTCATTAACTTTAATGGCAGATAATTACAGTTTTTACGATAATGAATCATTGGTGGACAAAGAAAATCGTGTTGAAGGTCGTTGCCTACAAAAATTACATGATAAATTGATTCAATCAAACAATGAAAGTCCAAAAACGAGATCTATCAAAAGGCAAGCAACATCACAAACCCAACACGATAGTGAAAATGAAGAATCAATTTTATTTGTCGATAATGAAAGTAATCTATTTACTACAGTGAAGAAAAATCAAAATTATCAAAAACGTAAAATTCAACGTGGTGAGCAACAACGTATTAATAACGTTGATCAACTCGATGAGTCATACAACAACGATAAACTTCGAAAAACAAACAACTATCGAATCGATTCAAGAAGAACGAAAACAAAAGAAGGTGTTGATGACTCATCTCATCATGTGAATAAATAGGCAAACAATTATCAAACAAATCAAAATGATAAAATAAATATTCCTGCCTATCCTGTGAATGATCACTCATTATCTTATGCTTCTGATCTTTATCTTACACCATTGAGTATAAAATGAAACGCGTCTTTATCTGATAAAAATACTGCTTTAAAATTCGTACAAGAATGTTTTAAAAGAATAGAATATTCCTTCAGAAAGAAACATATTGATCAGACAAAAGCACTTGGATTTGATTATTGGTGGATAAACAATGATGATGATCTTATAGGAATTACCAAAGATTTGTCATTGTACGTTTATTTATGTGATATAAGACATTATCCTGAATATATTGATTCAATTAAACTTAATCCTATGTTGCCTATTCATTTACCACCACAACATGTAGTAGTGTTAAAGTTTGTACCAAATAATTATTTTTTTGTTGATATTGAAAAAGATCTTGGTGGAAAATGTTGAAAGCTTAAACAACTTGAAAGAAAGATGGAAATGATCATATTTATATTCTTGTAATGAATAAGAAATGCCATGTTTTATTAATATAAAAGAAAAAAGAAAAAACAATGCTGACAATATAATAAAATTTTATTTCTTTTTGTTTCCAGTTAACAATCCTAAACCTGATAATAATTCATCTGCGTTGATTTCCTTCTTTAGAAATCGCTCATGAAGAGTATCATGTCTCATCTGAAAAGCTTTTGCTTTTTTCGATTGCTGTGATGCTGATGCACCAGCATCAAGTTGTGTTGAAATATGTTCAAAACGAACATGTTTACTTTGAATTAATTGTATAAAACTCCAAATATTCGGGTGCTTTCTTGACAATTTAGTTGCAAATCGAATATTATAAGCTAAAATACAAATAAGGGTGTGGGTGTGGATATGAGAAAAGGTAAAACTCACGCCCACACCCTGGTTTGCCTTTATTTGATGTAGCGAACAATATTTCAACCTTCTGAGTGATAGATGAATTATTTACAGAACATGTTGTTAAGGTCATTTAGAACATATATATATATTTATTATTAAAAAAATTCTTCATTCACAGAAGAATAAAATGCGCTGGTCGACGGATGGCCAATACAAATAAAAATATCGAATTTTCTACGGACATCTAATAAATTATTCGATATATTTGTTTCTCATAACTTTCTTTCCTTTCGTATTTGAACGTTTACATTTTCGACATTTTCCACTAACCCTTTGAAGAAGATCTTAAAAACTGTTATTCATCTATCTATCATACCGACGAAATGAACGGTACCAGAAGAATGCATAGTAGACATATTAGAATGGATGTATATGATAAAACTGAATGATGAAGAATACATCGAAAACTTTAAAACTCTAGTGGAACAGTCAAACGAAAATAATCATCGATTAAATTGATGTTTATTCTAGTTTAAACATAACATTTTAAAGGATTTGAACATTCTTCTACGGAATGAATTCAAATAAATTATATGCATTCGTTAAAACGACAATATCTTTTTTTTTGAATACTGCATGGTTTTTTAAAGATAATCTATTACAGTTTCCTGTCTTATAACTGCATTTTTCAATGAAACGATTTAAAAATACTGTCTATATTGAATGATGAGAATGTTGAAAATATAAAATGCTTTAACAAAATCGGGCATCCCTCTAGATAATATGAGTAACTCACTATAGATATGAATTAATGTTCATTAATCTTGTGCTATATTGTTGTTTCATGAATATTATTACAGCTTTGTAATCTGTTATTTTGAACGAAATCTGAGTCGAATATTTGTTGTCTTAATTTCATTTATCTACGTTAATTTGGAAAAAGACGATAAAGATTATTCGACGCGACTTGTTTCAAGCGATAAAGAATGAATATCTAATTATTCTGTGTAACACAATCGCAACAGTATTGAAACTCTACGAAGTAATGTTTACTTCACTCATATTATGACATACATACCAATGTTATTATGATCTTCGCATAGGTCACAACAAATGTCACGAAAGATTCGTCTTATCGGATCATAAACCATGGCAAACTGAATCAAGATTTTTCTTGGAAAGAAAAAGCATTGTCATGTTGTAAATTTTTGAGTTGCTAGTCCTGATTCTGAAAGTTTCTTTCAATTAATCATAAAATAAAAAAAAAGAATATTTGTTCATATTTTTTTTACTTTAAAATCAAGATTTATTTTTATTATCAATAAATTCAATTTATGTATTGCGCAATATAAAAGGCAATGATATATATTTATACACAGAAACAGAATTTCAATTTGATATTCAGTGGCGCTCAAAATTAATCATACACCTCACACTAAAGTAAATAAATATTGAGCAGTTAAAATTTTTGCAATTCATCGGTCTGAACCAGAAGACACATTTTTCCCATGTTTTAACTGAAAACTCAACTGTAACTTCGTTGAAATGTTTTAGAAATGTGTTTTCTCGTTCAGACTGATGAATTGCGAAAATTTTAATTGCTCAATATTTACTTACTTTTGCGTGGGGTGTATGATCATTTTTGAGCGAAATCAAAAGACTTTATTTTTACTATTTTTAGTCTAGCACTACAAATATATGACTCAGAAAGACCAAACTTTCAGCAAATAAACTATGACAACTGGTCTACATTTTGGCAAAAGTCACAACTCTATATCTTGAGCTCATCTTGAGATAACAGAGAAACAAGATCATTTGTCAAGTGTCTGATCAATTTTGAGCGGTACTATACCTTAAATGTATCTAAATTTCAGTGAAAACATAACTTTAAAAATAATGGAATAACAAATGAAAAGAACACAAATAAAATAAGTTTTTTTTTTAAATTGATCTAAACACATCATTAAGAATAACATGTTTAAATATTCTCTACTGTCTACTATATTACATCATTGTTATGTGTACTAAAAACATTGTCAGTGTTACTTAAAACATACATCTTAAAATCTTATTTAGTTTTTTTTCTTCTCAAACTTCTTATTAATCATACTTGTCGCTCTTATTCAAACATATTTAATAATTCTAATACGTGAAAAAAGAACACTCGATATTTGTGAAAATGACATTGAAGCAACTAATGTAATCTATATATTTAAAATTACATGATGATCATGTTAAATAATATTAAATCATATGAAAATTTGATATCAAAGAAATTCAATACACTTTTTCGGTTGATAAAAATAATTCATCTAGTAGACAAGAGTATAATTGATGATGAAATCAATTTATTCATTGTAAGATTCATGTCTTTAAGAACACTTTAATATTGATATGTCTGTTAAAATGACTGATCATCTCATGCATAATCAAAACTGTCTGAGCATCCAGCTGTTGTCTTCTATTAAATTTCCTTGATGTTATTTTTTTTTTCATATTCTATTAACAAAGATTTTATTCTTTATAAAAATTTCTTTAAGATATGTATCAAATGATTCGCAGAAGATAAAAATTAACCATTCATTCAATAGATTGTGATTGTCACACGATTATGGACAAAGTATCTTCAGGGTATTGTCAAAAAGTATTTTTCACATTAATGTATACTTCATTTTTTTTTCACTATTGATTGACCTTTTACATTCTTATGTGAAAAGAATTTCGTTGTTCATCGAAGGACTACAAGTGACTTTTTATGTAAAATTGAGAAAAAAAAGAATGTGTCAGATGGATAATGGCCATTTTTCTCTTTATGTTAATCGTATAGATAAATGAAGAATACTGATTGTTCGAGGCATCAGCTGAATATGCAGTCGACATATCGAAACAAAAAATTTAAACGCCGTGAAAATAATAATCATTTGGTTGCAACACTTTGTTCCTTTAAGCATTTACATAATATTTCTACCTATGAATGTATTTATATTACATTCATGTCAGACCATTATCGTTCATTGAACTAATTTTCGCATTGTGAACAAGCCGACGTATCCCCATCATGAACAATTGAAATACATTAACATTCTTTTTCTTCTTCTTTTTTTCTTACTTACTTACTTACTTTCTTTCTTTTTCTTTTATAACTTCACTTCAAATAATCT